CGCGGTTGTAAATCGACACACGTAATAAACGGAAAGGCGATAAGGGAAGGGAGGCGGATACGGCACGGCGGTTGTCACCATTGCACGGACAAATTTCGTAAACGCGTGTCCTCTACGCGTTCACTTACGAAACGAGAGTCCACGATAAAAAAAAATCCCACAAGACGCGATCGGAATTGGACGGCGCTTTTGACGGGACAAAATTACATTCACTGATTGTGAGAAAAAGTCCCACCGTACCCGCAGAAAAAAATTTCCAGATCCAATGCTATTACACTTGAATGTATCATAAAATAGGATCGATATAGCGCCAATAATGTTTATTACAGAGAAAGGAATATTTTAATCTTAATTTCTAAAATCGAGAAGCGTCTTTTGTTCGAATATCGTGGTGCCAACTTCATGCGTTGTAAGATGGAGGGACAGTGTATTCTAAACGCAAGAATAGATAAACTTACATTCACACTGACAACTAAATTTAAAGAAATGCACGTTTTAATTTATTATTTTTTAAAATTTAAGTTAATAAGCTATTAGGAGCCACCCAATGAATAATTTTTTGGAGTAAAGTAATATTTTTTGGATTAGGATATTTTTTTATCAGTTTATACAAGTTACTCTCTTGTCTCAATATAGTAAGCCAATCCTTTTTAATTCGATAGAGGAGAATAAGAATTATTGATTTTATTTTTATACTAAATGAGGTTGCGAGAAATATAAATGCGCGAAGAATATTTTTTGTCCCGGTAACAGAAATCCTTTTTGAGGGTGCGTTTCAACCAATTAAATAGCGTCTCCGATGGTTAGCTTTTCCGATCAAGCTACGGACATCTTCGATGAAATTTGATCGGCGAATCGATTACACTCTTCGTCGGATGTACAATTTAATCGAACATGTCCGTTTGTTCCTACGTAATTGGATTATCCGATGGTATTTAATCGGATATCTTTCCCAGTGCTGGAGCGAAAGGATCGTGTACTCGTATGAAGGTGCGAACGATTCAAAGCACCCTGCGTAAGTTCGCATGACGCGCCGGGGATTACTTTTGATAAAGCTCGCCGGTAATGGGTTCGATAATATGGATTTTGACACGGTCCAAGTACGACTGAATGTACATTAATTAACGAAAGGAAGCAGGAACGGCGGAGAGATGCGTAATGCTATGATTTCAGCGCACCGTGGAAGAACAGGAAAAAGGAAACCCCCGTCGCTTTATGGTCGCGATACACGGAAACCCCTTTCCTCGGTTCAGGGAACACCCCCCCAGTTCTTTTTTTTTCTCCTTTCTACACCAAACTCTGCATTATTCAGAGAGAATATAAGTGGAGAAAATAATCAGATAATGCGGTATGTGCGCGATACAGGGCCAGAAGTCGAAAAGTTGGGCGGACTTTCCATTCCACAGGTCAAAAGCTGCGCAGGTAAAAGACCCGTGGGGCGAGAGATTAGACCTGAGAAAGTCTCCTGGCATTCCCCGGGGTCGCGAGACTCCCGGAAACGCCGGTAAGATAAAAACGAATTAACGGCGGGCTCGGAATCCTCGCTGGCGCGCTGAAGATGGAAAAATCGAGGCGTACTCGATGCGTAACGTATATATTAACCCCGCGCGCTGTCTATCTACGTTCTCCCCCTTCGCAGACTACCATCATCATCATCATCGTCGTCATCGGCCACCATAATTGGCGCCGCTTCAACCCCTCGCGGGTACCGCGATAAAATCGTCACGCTACTCTTAATCAGGAGGGAGGGCGAGAGCCCGCAGGAAGTCGCATGTAAATTCTCATCGGAACGCACGTGGGTACGGAACGACGTGTCGACGCTTCGCTGCGTGCACGCACTTGTCGCCCGCGTGTATCGCCGCCCTTCACCCTCTCCCCTTCCCACTTTGCTGTTCGGATCTACTGCACTTTTCACCAAGTCGAGACACTTCGAGACATCCTCGAACGACGAGGGTGCGATCGGAAGACTACCGCCCCACCTTGTTTTCCCCCCCCCCCCCCTCTCTCTCTCTCTCTCTCTCTCTCTCTCTCTCTCTCTCTCTCTCTCTCTCTCTCTCTCTCTCTCTCTGCAGTTTCGCCGCAGGACAGTGGAATTTTCCGTCTCCACTGCGTGATGTGGATTATACCTTCGAGGAATTTAGAGCTGCAGGTGCACACGCTGACCGGGTTTACTTTTTTCGTAACAATTGTGTCCGCGCTTTAAGGATTCCAGAGCGTACAATGAATAACGATTCTGATTCTCTCGATAACCGGAGAGGCGAGTGATACATCAATTAAGCGAAAACGAATCGTCGTAAAGGGGAGCGTGGAAAAAATTCCCCGAGGCCCAGTCGCACCAACGTCACCTAACTTTAGCCCGACTCACTTCCGTTTCCTTTGGAAAGAGACGAAGGTGGGAGTAAAGTTACGTTGGTGCGACCTGACGGTCTGACAATGAGAGAGACTCGATTTCGAAGTCAGCCATCGGAGGAGGGCGATTCGATGACTTTTTGGACGGAATCGCGACTCGGGAGGAAACGCAACGTACTTTCCACGTGCACCGGTCGCACGTGTAACTTGTACAACGGAAGACCCGACCCCCCCACGTTCTCGCTTCTCGCCGCCAAGGATTTCGAGACCGCTCCGGACATCCGGATTCCGAAAGGGAGTTTCCAGAGGAGACGGTGTTTACGTAACTGCGCACGGGGTGTCATTATCGGCTTCTTCTCCCATGGAGAGGCGTGGCGACGGAGCCTCCTTGACACCTCGTGTGCGGAATAAACACTCGAAATCCCGCGCGAAGGCCCTCGGCGTCGCGCGGCGCGTTGCGAAACGCGGAGCCAAGTCCAATCGGGGCCTCGAGTGCGTCTGTATCTTCAAGATAACGCGAATCCCCCCGTTAACTGAATCGAGATAACTCGGATAGAGCGACCGCGCGCGGCGGAGATGCCTGTTTATCGCCGTGAAACTTGGCTTCCAAGACCGGGGGACACAAAATTTCGAGCGCGTTCGTTTATCGCGCGATAAGGACGATTTCCCAAACAGAGGAGGAATATTAAGATAACTTCTCTTACCCCGAGGAGCTCGCTACGCTCGGACTTGCGCACTTCCCCCCCCCCTCTCTCTCTCTCTCTCTCTCTCTCTTCCCCACACGCCACCCGCCCGCGTGTTACGGCGCAATTTTTCCTCCCGCTCGAAAAATCGGCCGGGAAAATCAGGAGGCGCGGCACTGCGCGTTTACACGCACGCACGCACGCCACGCACGCACTCCGGGCATACGAGGTACAAAAACTCACCCACACACCGGCAGCACCCCGACGTGACTCACGAACACGCCGCGCATCCAACACAGGCAGAGCGCGCCTCCTTCTCCGAAGGAGGGACGGACGGAGGCGCGCGCGCGCGCGAGCGCTCGCGCGCGCAGGGGGGCACGCGCACAGGTTGCACAATTCTCGTTATCACACCACAAAGTCGCGTCGACGGACTTAATTACCGGCGCGAGCGTATGTGCGTCCGTCGGGCTGTTCCTTCTCCCCTCAGGCCCCTCCGACGGAGAGGAGCATCGAGCGCGCCGAGAGGGACACGTGGCTCCGCAAGGGACGTAATTCCGTGTCGCGGCCGGCCGGGGCTCCACCTGTTATCGCGTTGCGTGCCAAGGGCTGCGAGGGCCGAGGCACGGAGGGAAGTTGATCGTGAGCGGCGGTCGCGAGGAAGGAGAACGGAGCGCGGAGCGGCAACGAGTATACGCACGCACGCACGCGGCTTCAATGAGCGCGACTGACGACGGCGAGGGGGAGGATACCCGGCGGACGGACGGACGGACGGACGGAGGCGGCCGAAAACGGCCGGAGACGGCCGAGCTCGGCCGAACGAGGCCTCAAGTCGGCCTCGACACCCCGGGGCGTATCGGCGCCTATGGGCAGCGCCGTGGCCGACCGCGCGACACGTCCAGGGAGCGGCGGCGGCGGCGGCGGCGGCGGTGGCGAGCGAGGGGAGGGTAATGGGAGGGCAGGGTAGAGCGAAGCACGCCGGGGGAGAGAGGGGAGGGAGATGAGAGAGGGGAGGGATTTACGCAACCCTCTCCCGAGCGAAAAATCCACGTCGAGAAGCACGCCGCCCGTCGATGCGCCGATAAGCCACGTAGTACCCTCTCGGTCCGCGCTCTCCGTCTCTCTCTCTTCCTCAAGGGGGTAGGAGGGAGGAAGAGAGAGAGGGCGAGCGAGTTCTTTCTCTATCGCGGTTTCGCTTCGTGGAAAAGAAACTACCTCGAAACTAACCTCTTCCGTTCTGCCCCGCCGATTCGCCGCCGTTAACCCTTCCGACGCAGCCACGTAGGAGTGCGCGCGCGCACAGCGTACATACTCACACACGCGCGCGTACGTAAACACAGACACGCGCGCGCGAGCACGACGTGTACACTCGCGGCAACTCGCGGGGCTGAGCAATACCGCGGACACGAACGGCCACCCAGGCCCGAGGTGGAAGAGAATGAAAAACCCGAGATGGGTACAAGGGTCAAACGTTGGAGCGGAGGGAGGGAGGGTGCGATGGAGAGAGAATGGCACGAAAGCAGAGGGTGACGCGCGCGCGCGCGGCGGCGGCGGCGGCGACGGTGGTGGCGGCGAGGGGAGGAAAGGGGGGCGCAAAGAGGTGTATACGTGTCGCGCGAGGGAGGAAATGAGAGAAAGATCGTCTGGTCGCGCTGGCGATATCGATTCGCGAGGGTGGCTCGCGATGGCAACGACCCTCGCGATGTGCCATCTCGTTTCGCGAGCGGAGCCGCCGCCGCCAAACGATTCGCACGTTTGCCGAGCTTGTCGACACCGCCCGGTCGTGGCCGACGACACCCGAGTGCGCGGGCACACCTCGGCTCCTTCCTCGTAATCGCCGTCGAACGGCGAGAACTGGCGAAGGAAACGCGACGCGGCGACAACACGCGAGTAGGCGCTGGTGGACAAATTAGATGTACCGCCTGGTTATCGTAAGACGCGTGCGTCACGACGCACGCCACACGCACTTACCTTGGCATCCTCGCGGGTGAACGAGGACGACGACTACGACGGCGGCGACGACGACGACGATGACGACGACGACGACGACACGGGGTGAGAGGGAGGAGTAGAAGATCCGTTTCCGTGGCGCGCGCGTAAGGACGTGCAACTCGGGGCCCGTGCGCAACACTAGGACGCCATGTCAGCAAGTCGAGGCGCGGACGGACTCTCTCGGGGCAGATACGTACACGTACACGCCGCGAGCCACGCACACTCGCGTCGGGCGACGTGCGCGAGAGCGAGACGGTAGGCGCACGCACACTACGCCGCTGACCAACCCGCGCCAACCGTGTCGGGGAATTTCTGCTGCGCCACCGAACGGCCGTCACGGAACCTCGCCTACGCCCGCCTAGCCAGCCACGGACGTGTCTTCCACTCGCAGTACCCTTCACCGTCGCTCGTGCAGCGCAGCGCGCACCGCGACACGCAGGCAGCCAGCAGCCAGCAGCAGCGAGCGCGACGCGCACCCGCTCCGACGCAACGAGTATACGTTCGCCTTGCCTCGCGAGCGCGCCCTCGTTCAACCGAACGAACCACCGTGGCGGCGCCGACGACGGCCGAGTCGAGTCGAGCCGAACCGAATGCGGCCTCGCCGAAGTCGAGGAGTCGGGCGCGCGCGCGCGCGCTCGCGCTCGCGTGCACGCTTCGCACAACCTCCCGCGAGAGCCGCAAACTTGTGTACCACCACCGCCGCCGCCACCTAGAGACGCGACGCGACGCGACGAAACGAAACGAGCCGCGGAGAGCTCCCCCACTACACCCTCTCGCGCTCTCTACCCTGGCGGCCGCTCTCGCTCGCTCCCCCACCCCCGCGCACCCCCGCCCGCTGCCGCCCGCCGCCTCTTTCTCTCCCTCGGAGTCCCGTCTCCGTTTCGCGCGCGCGCTCGCGCCTCTCTCTCCGTCGCGAACGCGAAACGCTGCCCCCTCCCTCCCCCTCGCTTCACCCTCTCCCATGTGTTGCTTCTTCCTCGCGTCAGCCCCCGCGAGGAACGGACGCCCCTCTCGTCTCCTCTCGCATTCTTATCGCGCGCCGTCCCGTCCTCGTTCGGCAGCCGTCGAGACTCGCTCGCCTCGCGGTTCTCGCCTCGCCGGGCCCGTTCTACTTCGGCCCTCACCCTCGATCACCCTCGAAAAAGGGCACTTGCTCTCGCCCCTTTGTTCTCACGCTCTCGGATCTCGGGAGAGAAAGAGAGAGAGAGAGAGAGAGACTGCCGTGACGCCCTCGCGTCGTGGCCTTCCTTTTTCGAACGCACCCTCCTCCCTTCGCTCCCCCGACCGCTTCGAGAGTCGGGAATGCGCGCAGCGCCGACTCTCGTCGAGGAGAGCGCGCGAAAAGGGTGCGGGATAAATGGGCGCGCGAAAGGAACGCCGTCGCGAACTTGAGCGCGCAGGGTGGCTCCCCGAATTTCTTTCGGGCCCGCTCCTCGACCTTCAAGTCGACTCGGTTAACCGAGAAACTTCATCCTCCGTCGCGAAAGCGCTGACCATTTCGGGTGGGTATGGGGGCGAGGGTCAAGGCGGAGGACGAGAGAAACGGAGACCAAAGTCCTTTCCTGCGCGGAGGAAGAGGGTGGGGATGGACCGGCCTCTGGAGCGTCGCAGGGATGCGCGTGGAGAGGGATGCGAGGGGGCGATTCTCCCGCCATCTCCTCCCCTGGCCGCGGGACAGGAAATTCGCGAGCGCGGAACGCGAGGGCGAGGGAGGGAAGAGCGAGAGAGAGTGAAAGAGGGCGAGGGGGTGAAGGGGGAGAGAGAAGGGAAGGTGCGCGGAGTGTCGTCGCGGGTTAGTAGCGTGAGCGCCGATTCGCGCGCCTGCGCACTTTTTTCCGCCAGGCGGCGGCGGCGGCGGCGGCAAATCGCATTCGTCTCTCTTTCTCTCTCTCGCTACCGCCGCCGCCGCCGCCGCCGCCGCCGCCGCCGCCGCCACGAGGTCGGTTCGCAACGGAACCTCAAGTTGTGCGCCAACCTACCCGACCACTGTTGCGTGTCCAGCGGCAAGTCTCCTTCTGCCGGTTCAAGTTGCCCGCTGATGATGTTTCGCTCCAGAGCAATGTTCCCCTTCACCCGTCCGAATCCCACGGAGTCGACGTCCCCCGTCGAGAGCAGCACGACCGGGTAGCGCTGTGCGAGCCGCCGCGCCGCGTCGTCCCGTCGGCGCGAAATTGCTGCGCTGGCAGCAGGACCGTGACACGCTCAACCCCGACACGCGTGCCTCGCGTCGCAAATGCGCTGCCGTTGCCACGACTTCGCGTCGCCCGCGCTCCGCGACAGTGTCTCTCTCTCTCTCTCTCTCTCTCTCTATCTCCTGCCCTCTCCCTTATCGCCTTCGCTTTGCCCCTCCACCCCTCGGCAGTCGCGTTTAACGGGACGCCCGCGCCAAACGAATGCAAAAGGGAGCGCTGGCGCGGTATACGCATGCAATGTATTTTTGTATTATCGCAGCATGCCCGAGGGTTGCTTCTCTCTCTCTCTCTCTCTCTCCCCGTCTCTTTCTTCTTCTCGCGTGCTCCGTTCTCAAGCGATACAACGGCGGAATCCTCGCGAGATCTTTTCGGTCGACTGATAAAAAAGCGGCCGAAGCGACCGCCTTGTCGCGATGGACATGAGAGTGGCGTACAGTCGGGCAAAAAAAAGCGCTTGGAAGGGGAAGCTGCGGAGAGAGATAGGGACAGGCGGAGGGAGAGAGAGAGAGAGAAACCTCAGGGCAGCGGCGATGGCGGTGGCGGCGACGGCGGCGATGGAGGGGGTGAGGATGACGATGCTAATATCAAGGGGGGGAGTTGGAGGGTAAACGGGCATGTAGACGGCGTGGGTCGGGGTGAAGGGGAGACGCCACCATCTCCGACGCTGACGCCGCCGCCACCGCCTCCGCCTCCGCCACTGTCGTTTGACTCTTGCGGCTACTGTTGCCGATCGCCTAGTGTCCTTGGCTCCGCTCTAGCGAGAGTCTAGTTCTAGCTCGGAGCGCGCGCGCTCACTCGCTCGCTCCTCGAGAAACTCGGCTGGCTCTCCTACCGCTCTCTCGTTTGCGCCCACGGCCAGGGCTGTATCGCTCGGGGCTGCTTTGCCCCGCTCCCCCCTTCTTTCCGCCTATCCCTTCCCGATGAATCCGCTCTCGCCTTCTCTCTCTTTCTTTGTCCTTCCGACGTGTCCTCTGTCGCAAGACAGCCCGCTGGATATTGCGCAAGCCCTGGGCCGTTATGGTTATTTTCCTCGAGGGTTAGCGTCTCGACATTACGACTCTATTTTCGTTTTCCCCGCTTTCTCCCGTTGGAGAGTAGATAATCCTATTCCTTTCGTGTCTACAGCTATAATGGAAAATATTTTTAATGGCGAAAGTATACGGCGCATTTTACGGCACGATCTTAGCAACAACCCTGTCGGTGATCTTCGGTGCTTCGCGCGGCCGTCTCGTGCCGGGATCCTGGCCCCGGCGCGTCTTAGGAAGCTTAGAAACCTCAGCGAGAGTAGAAAGAACACTTAGAGTAGGCGAGCAAGACGAAGGGAGGGAAGGGAAGTGACGGCAATGGCGTCATTGCTTGCGCGCGCGGAGAAGAAGGAGAGGGAGAGAGGGCTGTCTTCGCGTTACATCGCGGAGCGACGAGAGGGGGGGGGGAGAGGAGGACGCAGGGAGAGCCAAGGAGTACTACACGTGTCGCTGCAGCGCGGGGTGTTGACCCCAAATAGCTTTTTTAACGTGACGTAACCGCGAAAGGGTTGAGAAACGGCCGTGGCGACTGCCGACGCGACTTCGCCTCGAACTCGGAAGAGAGACAGAGAGAGAGAGAGAGGGGGGGGGGGGGGAAGACCGGAGCCCTCCCGGTTTTTCCCGGGCCTCGTCCCCCCCCTCCCCCCCCGCCCCTTTCCTTCCCAGCCGGCCCCCCGGTTTATGGGCGGAAAACGGACCTTTCGTACTTCAAAACTCCCCTCCGCGTTTTCGACCCGCGGACGAAAAACACGATCGAGTTATCCCGGGTGGGTGGATCTCGTGGTCAATTCTGTATCCTACAGCGAATTCGGTTGCTTGCACTAGCGCGCACTGAGTGCACACTAAGGCTTGTTTATAGTCAGCTCTTATATTTAAC